GGTTGCCGTCTAGGTACTGGGGTCCATAGTCATACCGGTCCCCTTGCGGAGAAACTGGAGTATACCAGTCGTCAGCCCTGCTCCTGCCACGGCTGTCGAGTGATCGGCCTTGGCGTTCCAGTCGCTTCTGGTGTCTGAGCTCTCGCTGGTGTTCCCAGTCTTTGCACTCGGCTTGCTTGTCTTTGGCAGTCTTGAGCTGTGACATTGCGCCCTTGATACCCAGGCCAGCGAGGCCGATCTGGGCAGCATCTTGCAGCATGGCCTTGGCCTTGAGCTTCTTGGCTTCCTCTGGACTCAAGCGGCCTTCCTTGACAGCTTTTTGACGCGCTTCCCTTGCCGCCATACTCTGATAGACTCCGTTCGCTGCATGAATAGTGGCCACGGCTGCTAAGCCGCTTGTGAGAACTTGCTTACCTCTCATTCGTCTCGATGTCTTCAGATCATCGTCCGAGTCTCCCAAATCCGAGCCTGACGCGCTCGACCGAGATCGCCTGCGCGAGCGGTCTCTACGTCGGCTGCTGGCGTACGACCTGTCGTCGTCATAGGGGTCCCTGGCGTCTCGGGGGTCCCTGGGATGGTCCCTGTAGTCGCGAGATCCGTGGGGCGGCGGGTAGCCCCGGTCGTAGTCGTCATCGTAGGGATCATCAGAATACCGTCTCGGCCCCCGACGCGAGTTTCTGTCGTCGTGGAGGCTGTCGTCACGTCGAGAATCTCTGTCGCCATCCCTGTCGTCGGGTCCATTGCCGATTCCGAATTTGGCAAGCTTCTTCCGCGCCGAATCGACGACACTCCGACTGCGGCTACGCGCGCGGGGTCGATCGTTGTCGCGGCTGTCGAACGAGTCGGCGCTGCGCCCGCGGCTTTGCGACCTATTTTCTTTGTGGTGTTCAATGGCCTTCTTGGCACCAAGGGCGCCGAGACCAGCAGTTGCCAAGGCAGCCAGACCGCTCACGCCGCTGCTGCCCTGGTCGTTACCGGATCGCGATCGAGCACGAGACCGGGACCTGCTGCGGCCAGTCTTCTCGTCCGCCTCAATGTTGCCTTTGGAGCCGTTGATCACGCGGTTACCAACGAGACCACCAATGACGGACTCGGCAAGGCCCAGCTTGCTACCCTTCTCGCGGTCCTGAGCAGCATCGACTGCGGCAGCACCAGCAGCGGCCGTGAAAATTCGCTTTGTCTTCTCACCCTTCCAGCCACCAGGTTCCTTGGCCACGCGGAATGCTTCGGTGGCGCCGGCAATGAGAGATGCCATGGCGGCCTTTTGCACCTTTGCGACCTGGCTCTCGTTGCCGCCGCCAGACTTGGAGCCCGATCGTGAGGCGCGATCAGGGCTGCCGCGGCCACGGCTTCGGTTGTCATCCTTGTTGTCCGAGCTACCGCCGGTGAGGGCCTTGACAGCTGCTCCCAGGCCCGAAGCCGCGAGAGCGTTCTCGAGGAAAGACTTTGAGCCCTTCTTGTCGTCCTCCTCAACGTACGTCTCGTGAACGAGACCATCGCGGCCACGGTGGGCTACAAGTTGCCCCTGTGGCGACTTGTCGTTCTTGCTGGACTGTTTGTTGTAAAACTCGGCACCCTGGTAGCCCGCGAGAGCACCGGCAGCACCGAGGGCAGCCGAGGTCAAGTAGTTGCGTTCGACGTCGCCGCCGTGCTCCTTGGCGTCGCGACGGTCGTACAGCTCCTTACCGCCAAAAGCTAGGGCGGCACCGGCGACGGCGGCGATGATCTTCTCTTGCTGATTCAGAACACGCTTGCGGGAGCGGACCTCTTCCTCCTCGCCGTAGACACTAGCGCCTGTTCTGCTGCGCCGGTCGCCGTAGTAGTCGCCGCGCCGGGAGCGGTCGTCGCGGTAGTCGTCGTAGTAACCAGGCTCTGCCGAGCGGGTCCTGCGAGCATCCCGGTAGCCCGGGGGAGGGAAGTCGCGGCGAATATCCTCAACCGACAGGTCGCTGTCTTCTCGCCTCCGGGGCACCAAATCGCGGGAGGAGTGTGGCTTCAGGTAGGATTCGTCAGCATACGCCCGCGGATCACCTCGCTCGATGCGAGTCTCCTCTCGCGTGTAGTGGCGCATACGCTCACGCGGCTCGTAGTCGTAGCTCATCACGAGGGGTTGCCAAGTATGTGTATCGTCCGCACTTGGACTGTGGAGGTGAGGGGTTCAAGGGAAGTGGCGGGGTGAGATGTTGTAAGGAAAGGTTAGAAAGTAGTGCAATGAGTAAGTGTTGTTCAAAAGCGCGGGGTCCAGAAAGCAACGGTCCGGTTCGCTACGATGCAGGCAAAATTGGATTCCAGATGCTATGCCGCTGATGGGAGGAGTGGATGTTGGGAGAAAAAGGAGGAAGAAGCACAGGAGGATGTGAAGGGGAACGGATGGAAAACGAGCATATGCAGGTGGCTCACAGGTAACCTGACGAAACTAAGTGGCAGGCGAAGTGGGATGTGACGGAGGGCGGGAGGAGCCTGACAAGGCGAGCGGGCTATGCCACCACAGGACGGTCCTGCCCACCAGAGGACGCAGGACGCACTGGCACTGGGCGGTGTCGTGTCGTGTCGTGGGAAGGTGGGCAGGTCGAAAGGTGGGCGGGCAGGTGGGCGGGCAGGTGGACCCTCATTGGCGACGTGACCAGGATCATTTGCACCTCACCCATTCTCAGATCGCTGTTGCCTCACAGGTCTGACAAGGTCCTGAGCGCCCGCTCCATTGGTTGGTCCATGCCTGATGAAGTGGCCAGGCGCAACCCGGTAACTCCCTGCCTGCAGCCTTGTTGCAGGCCTCCAGCCTGAGTGTTGGGCCTAAGGTGTCGGAGGGATACTACAAGCCTCAGAGGGTTGGGGCCATGCTGACGACGGAACCCAACGACAACCCGGGCCCCGGAAGTGACTGAGACGAGGTACTGTACGTCGTCATCGGGCGTGCTCCCCGCCCCCACTACCGGGCATCAAACTGGTGCTCGAACAGGGCCGGACTGCCAGCCAGCCAGTCAGTCACCTGGGTCAGATACCTTATGCAAGACAGCCTTTTTCTTGCAGGGTGCATGGCCATGGATCAGAAGCCACTCTCGGTGTTGCGAAGTGTTGTAATTTCTTCGTTCAGGGCCTGATTCTGGATGAGCCGGGTGGGTACATCGAGAAACAGAATGGTCGTCCGCGGCCCCAAGGGTCAAGTCATGAGGACATCTAGCTCTTTATCAAAAGAAAACTAGCAGGTGTACCCGAACTTCAGAGGAAGGACCAACTCGCCTCAAATCTCATGGTTCGAGATCCCTCGTCTGTTGAAGTTTGCGCTGTCGGGTTTGTGGGTTCTGAGTCGCGGCAATGAGGGGTAAGCTGAGGGCACACAGTGCTTTTAGAAGAGCAATGGCTTTCGGCACTGACTGACGCAATTGGGAGTTCCTTCCTTTGCCGCAGTGCTGACATCTTCCCGCCCTGCCTGCTCTCGGCTTTCGATGACACCTTGCCGCCGCCATGGTTCAATCGCCACCAACCCCCCACCCCCCCCCCCCGTCGCTTGCTGTGGTGACTGGTCTCTCCAACTACCTTACTTATGGTGCCTATTCAGGTATGCATGTTACCTACATGTGCGAGTCGAGATGTTGAACAGCCAACACAGCATCTCACCAACCGCGAACGTGGTCCATGTGCAAATCTTTCTTTTTCCTCTAGTGGTACAGTACAACGCCAGCAACATCCAATTCACCCACATGACTGTTTCTGCCTCTTTTCATCGTTTTTGTTTTCTCGGATTACCGGTCCATGTTCTTCATCCTCCGCTGATGCCTCTCTCAGTTTGCTTCATCCGAGTCCGGTACAGCCCAGCCAGGTAGTCGAGTAGTGTGCCGGGCCGAGTTGGAAGGGGCAGGGGGAGGTTCAGTTTGCTGCCTGCAACGGCGACGAAGGAGTGTCTTATCGCCGCCTCTTCACACTCATGTTCTTTGTCCTGTCCCCCCTGCCGGTGTCGCTGTGAATGCATGAAATAAAACGTGTGGGGAGCCACTCCCAAGGTCAACAAGGAAAAGCAATCAGAAGAATGTGGGAGAATGAGCCCATTCAGCAATTCTTCGTAAACAAACGCGTGGAGCAGGAAGACTGGCGCGGCGCTGTTCATGTTTCCCGCGGGCACGTCTGAGGGTTGACGCTGCTTCTGACTCTCGTCCTGACCTCAGCCTTTTCATCGTGCTGGGCCCTTCTTGACAGGCACCAGGGTCCAATATCCCCTCCCGCGCTGTCTGCAAAATCAAGGGCAGGGAAAACGCCCATCCGTAACGCCAGTTGTCAAAAATTTCCCCTTCGCACTCCTTTTCATCTCTTTGCAGCATGCGCAAAGAGATTTTTTTTTCTTTTCCAAATCAGACTCAAAGGGTCATGCCCAGATGGCCACCGAGTCTGCCAAGAAGCCCCTGATATCCATCCACCAGCCATTGAGGTAGTCCCTATATCCGCGTTCCGGAACATCGTATCCGTAGCTCCTGAGCGTTCGTGACAGGCGTCGTATGTCATGCCTGCTTGGCTCCTGGCGAGCTAACACCCGCAGTTGTCAGGAGAGCTGGCCGACATGCTGCACACTCTCTTCGTCTATCCTGCGCGTGAAGGCGGTCGAAGACCGAGGAGAGATAGGCAACGCCAGTTGGGCAAGACGGGTGCTGCTCCAGACCAGACATGGCCGCCCTACAGAAATCTGCGACCATGGCGGTATCGATGCCCTCCCCGGCAAGGTAGTCCACCCAGAACCGGTAGAGAATCTTCATGTCTGCGTGGACATGTCCTGCCTCGGCCCTTGGCTGCAAGCCGAAAGCCCTTTTGCAAAAGTCGAAATAAGTAAAATCATCAAGAACGAGCTGCTTCGTGTCATTATGCAAGGGTGTATCGTCCGTGGTCATGCTCGTGGGAGTCAAGCCTCGCAATCGACTCGTAACACATATGTGCACCCGAGAATGATCCGGTGCAACATTTCTGTCTGCTTGCGCCTCACCGCAGTTGGCATGGCAGACACTTTCGCCACTCTACGACTGGAGGGCCTCGACCTGTGACTCGCCATGCGTACCGTTCACCTGCGCCTGAGCGGCGGGTGTGGTGCCATTCACGTCGCCGTTGACCTGCTCCTGGTGCTGGTCCGCAAAGGCACTGCTCGGCTGGAAGTCGGGAACCGCAGCAGAGAGCTGGCCATTGGCCTCGCCGTGATAGGCTCCGTTCATCAGCGGCAGGCCGTCGTATCCATGGCCGTTGATCCCGTTGACGTAGAGAGGGGGCGAACCCAGAGGGTAGTCGGTTGCCGCCGGGTCACGGATCGCCTGCTGATCGAGAGAGTAGCTGTGGAAGGATTCAGGCCCGTCGGTCTGAGCGGCCTCAGACCTCTGATCTGTGGGAAGCACAAACTTCTGCCAGTGATCGCGGGCGCGCACGCGTTCGAGCCCGTCCTTGCCGACAACGTAGTCAATAGTCGTAGACTCAGCGACAGCAGCACGCAGAAGGTGCAGGTTGGGACCGCAAAGTTGGAAGACGCGCTGGAAGCCATGGATGAGGGACAAAGCGACGAAGCCCTGCGAGTCCATGTTCTTGCGAAGGTGAAGATCTTTGCACAGATTCTCCAGAGAGAAGTAGAAATCAACCTGCTGTGTCAGAACAGGCTTGACGTGGAAGTCAAATGCCTGCTGAGGAGGGTAGACAGGGGCCGTCATGGGCATGTTGGGGTAAGAATCCCAGGTGTATCCCATGTTGCCCGAGGTCGAGATGGGGCGCGGGCGGTTGCCGTTGCCGTTGGTGCGATGCGAGTAGTTCGATGCGGTAGACTGCCGATTGCCGCCACGACCAGAGGGCCTCGCTGACCCGAAGCTCTGGGGGAAGGAGTTGCCCTGGGGCAGGGGAGGGCTCGTGAACTGCTGATGGCGAGAGGGCACAGGCTGGGCGGCGAAGGCACCAGCATTGGCGTTGAAAGAGCCTTGCTGGTTGTGGGGAGGCACGTTTTGGTGCCCGCCGCGACCACGGTAACCGCCGCGGCCGCCCCTCTCCCCTCGACCATCACCGCGGGGGGCAGTGTGCTCCTGGAATTGTGGTTAGCTCGGGTTCCAGATGCTTGGCTGCCACCGAAAGCCATGAGGAATAGGGTGACATCAACTTACGCCAGCGCTGGCGTCCTTAGGCCGTGACGCGTTCTTCCTCGACTCCCTAGGACGAGTCGCCTCGGTATGCCTGGTGGTCGATGGGGGGACGGAAGTCGGCCTGCTAGGCGCGGCACCGTCCTTGGACTTCTCTCGCTGGTCGCTGCCGCCCTTGACTGCGTTGCCGGCAGGGGCTTCAGAGCTGCGGTCCGCGGCACTGGCGGATGTGGCATTGCCACCACCCCTGGTGGAGACATCACGGCCGCCTCGTCCGTTGCGGCCGCCGCCACGAGAACCGCGCATGGCAGGGACAGGAGTCTCAAAGTTAACTGTCGGCACAAAGTCCATGCGAGACCACTGCTTCTTCTCCCTCGACTTCTGACCGGCACTGTCATCGTGAGCCTCGGGTTGCTCTGTACGCTCCGTCTTCTCGGCGGGCTTGCGCTTGTCGTCCTTGATAGCCGTCTCAGGCGTAGGCCAGAAGGTAGCATCGCCGACCGGGGGCAGCGCATCGGCCTTGTCGCCCGCACGCGAGCCGCGGGCACCGGTCCTCCTCGATGTCTCGCCCTCGGTGCGAACCTCCTCGGCAGCCTTTCTTGGTTGCTTGACACCGTTTGCAGGTCCAGTCTGGGCGGCACTGGTCGAGGAAGAGTCGACAGAGTCGGCAAGTTTGGACTTTTTCTTGGAATCCTGCGAGTTGCCCCACGTTTCGGTCGAGGCAACCGAGCCATCGGCCTTAGCAGCAGTGGTCTGAGCGCCTGCGGGCGCAGAGCTTGGCTTGACCCTGGCATCCTGGGCCTCCTTCCGTTGTGTCCAGATGTTTACAGACGGCATTGGCGCCTCTGTGAGCTCGATCTTGGGCTGCTCTTTTTCCTTCTCGGCCTCCTTGTCCTTGTTCTTATCGGCCTCCCCGTTGGTGGCGGCCTTACCCTTCCGACCCTTGCGCTGGCCCTTCTTGCCGTCGTTCTCGTCGGTGACGCGGGTGGAGGAGCTGGAAGAGCGCGCGGCGCTCTTGTCGCTGCGGTAGTGGAAGGTCTCCGTGGTTGTCTCGTCGTCATCCCGTCCAGTGCCATTCACGGCAGGAGCGGATGCTGAGCCCATGTCGGTGGGGGCTGTTGAGGCAGGAGTGCTCTCCTGCGCGGGGGCAGAGTCGGTTTGCTCGGCCGCAGAGGCCTCTTCACCTCTTCGATCCTTTGGAGAGGCGTCATTTGACTTGGGGCTCTGCTCGTCGGCAGCCGACTGGTTCTTGATGGTGTCTTTGATATCAGCAATGTGGTCCTCCGGCGCTGAGGCCGACTGGGTCGTAGTCGCAGATGTGACGTTGGGCGCCTGCCCCTTGGCAGCTTGCGCGTAGGAGAAACTCGACGAGGTGGCCATGGCTACCGTCGACTGTGAGTGTCCAGTGTTTGCGTCAAATGACATGCAATTTGTTGTTCGTCCTGCTAGTAACAGGAGGCGGCGGCGGCGGCAAGGACGGACAATCACCAGATCCGTCCTGACCGTATCCGAAGTACGGACGTGAATGCGTCACTGGAAGAAAGTGACACGCTGGAGGAGCAGTGGCGGCCGCTCAACACCTTGGTTGTGGGCTGCCGGTGTGTGCCTACAGAGAGTACGAACGGGCCGACGTTGCCGCGATCCGAGGCGGGAAAAAACAGGCGAAAGCGGATGACGGAGACGAAGTGCTCGTTCCCAGAAAGGAGGACAAAGATTGGGTAGCTTCGCAGGGTGGGATTCCTTCGGGGTGACGAGGAATGCCAGAAGGGGTGGTTGTGAGGTGGTGTGGTGTGGTGTGGTGTGGTGAAAGGGCCAGGCGTGGAAGAAGGAAGTTCGACTGTAGGCGAGGTAGGGAGAGAAAAATCTCGACTGCCGTAAAACGCGAGGTTCGATTGGCGAGTTCGGGTAGACTCGTAGCGCACGGGGCCTGAAGCTGCTAGGTAGGTAGGTAGGTACCTGGTGAGGAAGGCAGACAGGCAGGCAGGGCAGCAGTTGAGCAAAGTCGCAGTAAACTCGGGGAATCGGAAACCGGCCAGAGGTGAGAACCGACCCCTCAGTGCGCGCAGCGAGCAATTTCGATCCTTGATCGTGTGTGCCCTGCAAAAAGAGGCGAGGTTCGTTGAACGAGACGGGAGGGCCTGGCGAAGAGAGAGGGACGGGAAGGGGGGAGGGGGGAAGGGCTTCGTGCAGTGAAAGTGTGGTTGAGGAGGAAGTTTCTCGTCGACCAGGTCGAATTAAACAAGCCGAGATTTTTGCTGTGGGAAAACAAATTTTTTTTCCTTGTCGCTGAAGCCCGCCGTAGTTCCAAACGCTACCAGGTTGGCATCTAACTGCAGGTGGAGTTGAACGCCCGTTCGCTCCACAGTCAGTGGACAGGGCAGCCTAGGATAACCCAACCCGTCGTGGTCGTGGGCACGCGACCGGTTACGAATGGCGGGCAGGATAGAGAAACGGAAGAGGTCAAAGGCAGCGAGGAAGAAGTGGGCAACAGACCGTACGGAGACGTAGAAAAGGCAGACAGAGAGATGCACAGAAGGGTTCTGGAGTTGGTCGGTGCCTGAACAACGCGTGTTGTAGGGATAATCGTTTGACGTGTCGAGAGTGTTCCCGTTGGGTTGGGTGTGGTGTGGTGTGGTCTGGCGTGGTGGGCGCAGGTGAACGGTAGGTATCATTCATTGGTGGGTGAGTAGGTACCTAAGTGAGTGATTCAGTGAATGAGACGGCCCCGAGGGGACGCAACAAGTCTCGACTGGTTGGTTACCTCAGGTGCCTTACCTCCCTCAACCTGAAAGGTAAGGTACTTGGATGTGCAACGGGATCTGGAGCCTCAGGCCGACGGACTGAGCAGGCAGGCCATACTACCTAAGGTACCTAGGTAGGTGATTCAACTGGCGCCTGGTTTCGGCATGGCTCGGCGGTCAGCAAGGCCTGCCTGTGTATCTACATGGAGCAGAAGCTGCTTGGCTTGGAATATGATCACGGCCACCGTGCTCCGTCTCGGCATCGGGAGCATGGCCATGCACACGAATGGTCAAAGCCAATAACACATCATGACCGCATGAACTTGAGCCTGGCTTAGACTCCTTGCAAAGCTCTTGTATCGAGTCCGTGTCCTCTGTATCTGTACATGCTACCATGCATACCATGGCGAGCAGCTGAACAGTTGAACCTCTGCTATTGCGCTTGCCGCCACACATCAGGCAGGCTCCTGTACCCGACTGACGTGGGGGGGGGGGGGGGGGGGGCTTGGGAGTCCTACCTCGGCCCTCTACTTGGCTACTGACCACCCTGCCTTACCATTGCCTTACACGGATGTTTCAAGATGCGTAAACACTGCTTAGATTAGCGAAAGAAAGCGTCTAAACCGCGCAGGCCGCGTTCAGGGAGCTGACTCGTTAAGACTGGACCTGCGCTGCACTTGGGCTCGCCGTGGTCAGACCAGGGCCCTGATGTGTGTGTGTGTGCTCTTCCTCGGTGTCCGCCGGCCGGTCCACCAATTGTCCGCCCACCTTCCCGTTTCGGTAGGCAGAAGCAAACGACAGGTATCTTACGTACCGAATTAGGTAAAGACGTACGGGCTGTTAATTTTTGTGTCTTGCCCTCATGACTGCAGTTTGACGTCCATTTTAGGCCCGACAAACCCGTCCTGCTCAAACAGGATTTGGTTTTCTTCTGTTGTTTCACTCAAGCCGAAGCGGTCACGGGCCATCAGAGAAAGGAGTGCAGGGCGGCACATCCAACAAACGCGGTATGCTGCAACTGTAGGTTCAACAAGTCTCTGCTTGCCCGTGTCGGGAAGAATACAAAGGCCCGAGTGATATTCGTTACTAGGATACATTGATCATGCCCGAGGTCTTCCATCCACTGAAAGTCCCTTCTTTGTTTCGTCGTACAGAGAGCATTCTCCGAGTATGAGGTGGTTGGTAGTACATTTGCGCCATGAATTTCAAGTGTGCGGAACATGCCCATCAGCCCGACACCCACGCCGCAGCTCGTCGAGCACCAAAGGTCGTTGCGAGGCGGATGCCGCTGGATCCCATGGGGAAGTAGCTGACGAGATACCAGATGAGGCAAGCCAACTGCACGATGGCAGAAATCAGCGTCAAAATCGTGCTGCGAAGCTGTACCGAATGGTTAGCGTCCTCTCCAAAGCACGAGGATAGCAGACTTACGCCGAGCGAGAAGTACAGAGAAAGGCCCAGAGACCCAAAATAGGCGCTGGTGAAGGGAAGACGCTCCGCAGACCCAAGATGCCGAACGTAGGCCATAGGCCCCATCATGGCCGCAAAGGAGGCGAGGAAGAAGATGGAACCGAGAGTCCATCTGTGCCCGAATATTAGCCAGGATCGGAAACAAACGAGGGGGCCTCCTGCTGCCTTGCAAGACTGCACATTCGGTGACATGCCGTGCGCCAAGGCGGAATACGTACAATATGACAAACTTGGTTGGGCGTAGCGACAAGACCGGAAAGAGCGCAAAGCAGATGACGAAGCAGGCGAGTGCCGCCAAGTTGCATGCGCCGAATATCATCAGTCGATCCCAACGGCTCACTGCAAGGTACGCATGAGTTAGCCAGGGCCAAGGAAGTGCGGTTGAGATGGCGCGCAGCAGACCAGTCCGCAAGTGTTCACATGGGACACTGAGACATGGACATCGACAACCACGCGCGTGGTCTGCCGAGACGGGGGACAACTCTGGGTTGACTCACAAACAAACCAGCCTTCCTCCTCCTCTCTCCTATTAGGAGCAGGAAGAGGAGCCCCCGGACCTTCGGTGGTAGGCAGCTGAACATAGCCCCGATCCTGGAACGGGTTCAGAGACTGTAGGGACGACATGAGTCCGCTTTGTTGAGCCGTGTTGACTGGTACATCCTGGTCACGACGCGCCCAGCCCAGCGAGCCCAGCGAGTCGCGGAATGATGCAGATGCCATGGTCGCCTCCGATCGCTTTGTACCCGAATCCCTGGCAAGGATGCACGAGGGTTCAAGACCTCAGCTTGGTGGGCGTGGTCGTGAAACCGCAGAAGAGGCGTGGGGACCTGAGGCGAGAAAGATGCCGATCCAGGGGAGATGTCGAGGGGCGGCCCGGTGATCTGACAGGCGTAATCAGGCGTGCTCAGAACCAACGTTCCGTACAGAATTGTGAATGGGGGCTAAGACGAATCGAGACGAAGCTGCTGGGGGCAGCAAGTCACGAGAGCGGAGGGGCGCGCGCGCAACGTGCTGAGGGCTGAGGCTGTTCAGCGAGGCTCGATCGGAGGCTGGTGACGGTCGGGCTGCTGAAACATCGATCCCGTATTAGCGTCTTGTCCACAGAGATACTGAACGGGTTCGAGAAACCCAGACTAAGACGCCGCGTACCTATGAGCAACCAGCTGTGTATTGCCTGAAAATGAGGTGGAGAGGGAAGCAACCCACAGCCTCTCCAGTACAAGAAGGCAGACAAGAACGCAATACCCGCGCGTGCCGCAAGGTCAAGTAGGACTGCGAGCAAGCCGGCAAGAGGTCGAGCTGATCAGGGTGTGGTCAAGGCAGACGGGGATGGTAATGCCGGTGGGAAAGGGGAGGGGGGGAGGGCTGGCCGGTCGGAGATACGGGGCAGGCAGAAAGACGGATGGAGGGTATGATGGTGGTGAGAGGTCATCAAGACGCGGGAGCTCTCAGTAGAGTGGCTGGAGGCCCCGGGATGTGCAGTGGCTGGTGCGGGTCCCCTTCACGTAAGCGGTGGCACATGATTCGATTGGCAGCATGAGGCAGCTTCGCTTGTCTCACTTGGAAGCACACGTTGGAACTGCCAGGCTTGCCAGGCTCTTGGGGAAGGGGTGTGTACGACCACGGGACTGCCTCCTCATCATGCCACCACCCAAGCACCCTGTTAGCTCGCCCGTAGTCTATCGGACCTGCTCGACATTGCCCACCTCGCTTTCTCCTTGTTTCCCATGTTTTCGATTCCGAATGCCGGTACATTCGGAGGCAATGGCCTTTGCCACCCCCCACGAGATGCTACGATGCACATCATGCAGGTCTGCTCCTCACCCGAGTGGATGTTTTCAATAGCCGTGCATGAAGATGAGCAGTGCCGACAAAGCCACCATGCCAGAAGGCTATGGATGATGCCACGAAGACTGCCATCAGTCACATCTTTCCACGCCTGTCTTGTGTAACCTTGAATGGCCCGGCGGCGTGACCACGAATGACTTGAGACGAAAGGACGGCGCCCTGATCCCAGTCCGATATTCTCGGGTGGCTGTAGGGACACAGTACGTGGGTTGGGTGATGTCGGCTGAGGTCAAACAGCGGGGTTCATATCGTCCATGGATCGATCGGTGAGAGAGGCAGGGAACGTAGCGATACGACGACTCCTTCATGGTAACGCGAGCGGGAAGAATCCCATCTTTTTTTTTGGTGCCGGGGCAAATGCTCCTATTTGCGTGGCGGCTATCTCGCTTCTGTCTGACATTTCGAGATCACGACCGATATCATGATTGAGCCCAGTCAAAAGACGCTTGGAAACAGAGGGTCTTCGTAGTGCGTGCTCGCCGGCGACGAGGGAACCTCTCGCACATCCACACATGACGCAACAGACAGGGCAGCACGGTTGTGTGTACTTGATGGACTGGGTTCTGAGGACTTCCCGCTACCAGCTTACGACTGCGAGGAACCCAGACGATCAGGCCAGCACGGAGTGTAGATGTATTTTGGGAGGGCGATTGTGGGTGTGCCCCCATGTCTCAGCCTGAGTGGTCAACGAGATCACGGGCTTGCACGGGCGCTGCGTACGGGCCCGTACTGGTGCCCTCCCTCCCGTGGGGCCGTCCCTCGCGGACCCCTCCTCGCCGCGTTCTTGGCTTTATCCATGATGGCATTTGTTCTACTCGTCGATGAAGCCATCAGTGGTAGGCAACCAAGTCGAGGGCACTAGCAAGCCAGGTCGACACCCTCGCAGAGAGAATGCGTGTCAGGGGATACAGTCAGGTAGATACGGCGAGGCTTCTCTTTGGGACAGGTGACGACGACACCGTATCGCCTCGATGGTAGCCGTGTGCATGTGTGCGTGTGTGCTTGTATAAAAGCTAGCGCAAGGCCTCGCGAGACGCGTCCTTCGTGGCTGGTTCCTTTCTGAGGCACGTCGCATTCGTCCACGTACTTGACCCAGGTCATCGCCACAGAGATTTACCCATCGACAGTATTGCGCAAACAGCATACAGTGCTTCCAGACTGCAAGAGATCGTGAGAAGGGCCCAAGACCGTCGTCCTTCACAAGCGAAGCGAGTGGACGAGAAGGAAAGCCAGGCAGAGCAATATTCGGGTGACACAAGCTGTCTCCTCCATGGTAAGGTCCCTCCCGCCTCGGGCCCGAGATTCTACTCGCTCCCTTGGGGGCGTCTCACGTCGATACCTTGGACCATAAGGGTGCTTGGCTGACTGTTGCGTCTCCATCCTTCAGACCCTCCCCGCTCCTACCGAGAACAGCACCTACCTTGAACCGCCGCCGAGGCTTGGCATCAGACTTGGATCTGGAAGAAGCCATAGGTTGGACAGACGAGTTACACCGGGCGCCATTCAGAGAGGTAAGGAACCATCCACCGGCAGGCATCCTCACCACCTTTCCCTGGGCCTACAGCCTTGGGTACAGCCGACAGCCTACAGCCTACAGCCTGGCGGGCAACAGCAGTAGCCTGATTCTGCCTGGCTCGACCTCCCTCACTGACAGTGAGCGGGTGAGTGGTTGGCGAGGTAGGCAGGTAGACGGCAAACTGACTCACGCACCAAGCCGCCCGCTACCACATCATGGCATCTCCGCGCCTCCGTGCCCATACCCATGCCCATACCTCTCCATGCCTCCATACCATCCACATCCACACCCACATCCGCCCACCTAGCGCCCCATCCACAATTCCAAGAAAAGGACCCCCCAGGCTGACTTCCTTGATCCTCACAGTACACTCACGCCGCTGTCCTCGCCTCAAACTTGCCCTCGACGCTCGACATCGATATCGACCACGCCTGTTGCCGCCCCATCTCGACTCGGCCTCAGACCAAGCCGCTCTCGAGCAAGCCACAGCACACAAACCAAGCTAGGCTGTTCGTGCGGCCAGCCAGTGCTCACCGGCACCACCTCACCGCTCTTATTACATCGCATCCCTTTTCCCTTTGCACACCATCTCTCCAATTACGCCGACTATCCTCCTCTTTTCGGCGACTCATCACTTCTCCCATTTCGCTTCTTGTGCAACCTCGAAAGCCAAGCGAAGCGCCGTCTTACTTGCGTCTGCCTGACTTTGCCTGGCTGCTGCGAGCACATCTGATTCATTCCGTGAGTACATAGCACGCACACACGCTGAAGTGTACCTTGCCTTATCGTGCAGCGAGTTGCGGTACAATTGGTGGCGGATCGTCACACCAAAACCACCCTGCCCCTCCGCTCCCCATTCAGATTCCCTCCAGACCCTCACCCACCCAACCCTCTAGTCTCTTTAGGCCTTTGCCCCCCCCCCCCCCCCCCTCGCCCAGCTTCTTCCCTTATGCCCACCTACCTCAGTACAAGTACAAGCAGCCTCGCCGCGAGCTGACCACCTCTGTCGCGCCTCGTCTCTATTTGCAACTTGGATTCCCGCCTGCATCTTTTCTCTGACAAGCTGCCAGCAGCGACAAACCAAACCGTTCATTCCGCCTCGTCGCGCAGTGCTCCGCTGACCGGCGAAGTCATCCCTGCGACCCAAGTACCATACCGCAGTTCCATCCCTTGGAGCCCTTAGTCAGGTACTTTAACCCTCCACGCCAGCCGATTCGCCTAGACCGTCTTCTGCCAGCTCTCGTCTCCAACAACAACCCCTCCCCGACACCGCACCGCACCGCAGCGCCCCTACTACTGTCACATCAAAAAAGCGCGCCGTCGTCTTTTCGGCTTCGGAGCAGCGACCACCCAGTCAAAGCCGCCAAAGACACGAACCCGGTCAACTACCCGCGCGTGCCGGCAGCCCTGCCCCATCTCGCCACGTTTCGACATTCGACCGACCGCCCGCCCGGCATCATCGACACTCGCCTCGGTTCCCCTCCCCCCCCCCCGAGTGTCCCGGTTACCCGCTTCACCTCCCTTGTTCTCGTCGACTCGAGCCTCGTATATTCAAGTACCCAAGCATCCTGCCACGAGCGACAGTTTTGCACCTTCGCAACGAGTCCCCAAGCAGCATCGCAACGTGAGTCACCTTTCCTCGTCCACCCCGCATCGAGCTGGTTTCCATCCCGTCGTGGTCGCCCATCACGTCCGCCCGGCCAACCTCTACATCTATTCTGGAGCTAACTCGGTGTCTCTACAGCAGCCTTAATTGTATCGGGGGGCAGAGTTGCACCTGCTCGACCGTGATCGACGTCCCAGCCCAGACACCATCAGACGGCGTGCGTAGGCACCAAAGCAAAACTATTTGAGCAACACGAAATTCACCCTCACAATCTACGGAATACATCCCCCACAATGGCTCAGCACGGCTTCGGTCAGTTCGGGGGCGGCACCAACGGTGGTGGAAGTATTGATCCGAATGACCTCGCCATGGGTGGCAACTATTCCTCATCATACCACAACAACTTCAACAACAACAACAACAATAACAATAACAATAACAACTCTTCAAACGCCTTTTCCAGCGGCTCGGCGCTCTTCGGCGACGATGAGCTGCTTGACGGCCTCAACAGCCCAACCGACGGGCAAGGGGGCATGCACGGCCAGGATCTCGGCGGGGTGTCTGAAATCAACATGAGCTACCCACAGGCGATGTACGGTTCTCACCATGGCATGGACTCAAACCTCAATGGCTACTCGAACACGCCTGATGGCGATCCTATCCAGAGTCCCTTTGTCCACAGCTACAACTCCCACTACCGAGGGGGCTTCAACCACCAATCCCTGGGCGCATCGATGCAATCTCCCATCTCTTTCTCCGGATCACCACATGCAGGTTCCGACCTCACACCAGATGGTGTCGATGCCAACTATCTCAACGCCAAGAGTAGGCAACGGATGGCACAGACCATGCAGCGCAAGGGTTCCAGCACCCGCAGCCCGATGACAGCGAAGGCCGCGATGCACGGCGTCTCCATGGGCTCGCAAGACTCGACCAGCTTCGCGAGCCAGTCAGTGCGCACGCCGGGCATCCATGAAAAGTCACCCTCCGGACAGTGGATGCAACCCAGCAACCCCATGGCGGCATCGTACAATCCCGGGTTCTCACCTGTACAGCCCGGTATGGCCGGCCTCAACGAGGTTATGATGAAGGGCGGAACGTCTATGCCTGCAAAGCTGGGTGCGTCGCAAGGCACAGCAGTCTCGTCCCAAGAGATGAAGCGCAAGCGCCGAAGAGAGTCTCACAATCTCGTTGAACGTCGTCGCCGCGATAACATCAACGAAAGGATCCAAGACTTGAGCAGGCTTGTGCCTTCGCACAGGCTCGAAGACGAGAAGATTCGAAAGATGATTCAGAATGGAACGCCACTGTCGCCCACGCTGTCTGGTATTTCTAGCCCCTCCCAGGCGACATCTGGCCTGGCTGGGCCTGGCGCTCGCCGCGCGACAGGTGGAGCTGCTGGCAACATCACGACCGGTCTGCCTCTGGAAGACAAGGACAAGGGACCCAACAAGGGCGATATTCTGAACGGCGCTGTCAGCTGGTCTCGCGATCTGATGTGGATGCTCCATCTCAAGCTTCAACAGCAGGAGGAGCTCATGAACATCATCGCCGAGCTCGGCGGTCATTTCCCTTTTGAGCTGACAGATGACGAGAAACGAATGCAAACTGAGCTCATGGAGGCCATCTCCAAGAACGACGCCCTGGGCTACTCGCGCACAGCAGGATCTGGCCTGCGCGTTCCCAATCACACCGATCTCCGCGGCGAGCCGCTCAACGGCTCCGGGAACCCTTCTGACGGTCTCGGCGGCAGCCCACTCGACAATGACGACGGCACAGTCACCGGCGACTTGACTGGCGCTAATGAGTTTTGGAATGACCCCGATGATGACGTCTCGCTTAACTTTAAGGGCGATGACGACTTCGGCATGGACCTCACGCAGTAAAGGTCGCTCGACCTTTGATTTCTCTTCCTACTCTTGTCTTGGATTGTTGCATTAAAGCTTATGTTTGGGTTCGCATGGGGGGGGTGGGATCTTGCACGGCATCAGGCGTTTGCATCACAGAGCCTGGATGAGTACGAAGTGGGCACGCCTTGTGCTGAGTGTTCCTTTCCTTATAATTTTCTTCTCGGGAGAGGAATCACGACGACGGGCCTGACGGACAGGCTCTGCCGGGCATCGACTCGTTGCATCTTCCTGTTTCCTCATCTTTTGATCTCGTCTATTTCCTTTCGGTCACCGGGTCCTCTTATAGTGCAGCATTTTGGAATCATTACAGACGGGCAGATGTGATACCTTTGGGGGCGGCGGCCAGGCATTTGGGATCGGCGAACTGAGGCTTGTTCTCTCTCTTGTTTTCCTCACGGTATACCTTGATTATTTAGCAAGCTACGTAGGTCGTTACGCATACAACGCACAGAAACTACTTTCAAAGCTCCTTCGTCATGATGTTTCAAAAAGCATCGAACTGGGCCGTCCAACAGCAGCACGTCATCGCATGTGCATCATAGCTGTATCATCTACTTAAACTGGGCGGCCGAAGCTCCCGCATCTAGCCCATGCCCTAGCCTATGACATGTACAACGCCGACGCAGCGTAGAAAGACTCCGCCCCTTCCCAACATCCTTGGTAGCTAGCTGGCCCATGCTCCGCCTCACCAGTGACGAACGCAGATGAGGTACTCGCTCATGGCCGTTAGTTGAGTCCAAGCCTCCTTACGCTTCATGTCCTCCTGCAGCGCAATGCGCTCGAGTGCCGACTGCCCGTTGAAGTACTTCCAGTACAGCTGCCACGCCTTGGCGAGCTTATCGTCGCGGAAGCGGCGCCCAATGGCCGACAGGTACAGCGAGTCCTTGCCCGTGGCCTTTTTGGCGTCGAGTATGACGCGCGGCGTCATGCCGGCGAGGTGCGCCGCCTCGTTGAGGGACGGGCGCTCCGTCGCCGACGGGACGACCTTACGTGCGTGCGCCGCTGCCTTCTCGGCCGCCTCGCGCTGCGTCTTCTCGGCGATACGCGAGAGACGCGCCTGCTCGGCGACCTGCTCGTTCATGGTCGGCACGTGCGGTGGGGCGGCGGGGGTGTCGGTGCCGTTGCCGGTGCCGGCGCCGGCGGCGGGCGAGGTCTGCGACGCGGGCGACGCGAGGCGACCATCGTCCAGAGACTCGAGGCTCGAGCTCGGTGCGCTGGTGCCCAGCGAAGGATCCTCGGCGCGGCGCAGCTCCTCGGCCTCGAGCTCGTATTCAACCTCGTATTGAATCTCTGGCCAGACGACAACGTAAGCAAAGGTGCAGAGCTGCGTGACCCAGCCTCCACGCATCAGCCAGCCGAGCATGAGGAGATAGGTTGGACGGTGTGCTTTGCTCGGGCAATAGTGCTTGTAAGGGCGGGGGGCGTAGGAGAGCTCCGCCAGAAAGTTTGTCAGCGGCGGAGCGAGGGGGAAGGCCTTTGCCCATTCAACGCTGGCGCGGGGCAGGTTGCGCGTGTCGCTGTTTGGCGAGAGAATGTAGACATCCCGGGCGTGGAGCGGCGGGATTGCTATGGCGCGGCGCCAGAATATAAAGTGCTGGGCGTATTTGCGGACCTGGCCGAGTGAGAGTATATTGCTTTGGCCGATTTGGAAGAATCTGATCGTGTAAGCGATGTTTCGTGAAATAAGCAAGCAGAGAACGACGGCGAACTCACGATTGCGTTGGCTTGGACAGTCGGACAAATTCCACCATGGCAGCGGTGGTTGGATCCGGATCAGCTTGAAGCTCAGCAATGATTTTCCGCTCGTCCTCCATGAGAAGCAGTCCGAAGCTACGATCCAGGAAGCCTGGCTCGTCTATGGTGTCTTCTCCCGTGAACGAGTTTGCCGTCGTGAGCCAGAGACCGCGTTGGCCCTCCTCGCCATCTTGTGGCAGATCTGCGACGTAAAACGGTACCGGAATCTGCACAGACGGCGTCAAAGGCCCCGCCACTGTGTCTAACTGCAGAGCGGCAATCTTGTTCTGTGATACAGCTTCGTAGATATCCTGTACCGAAGCAGCCAGTGAAGACGACATTAGAATCTCTGCCCACAGAGAGCTCATTTTGCGTTCTGGCTCGTCAGTCATTGTCTGGGCGTTGGCTTGTGCCTCAAGGGTCTGTTGAGCTCACTGTCTTCTCTTGCCTTGTCTTTGAGGGCAATGATACGTTTTGACTCCTTCCAGACGAAGTCGCTGTGCTGCTGGCTATACTTGTAGGCCTTGTTGACCTTTTTGATGATGTTGTAGTATAAAGTAGCAACGAGTTCTTTGACTTCGTGCTTCTTGGGGTGTATGATGAAGACGAGATTGAACATGGTCATCGAGGCCCGCTTGTCCTCTGCCTCGTCTTCCTTTCCCTTCTCCTTGTCCTTGTGGTCTGACTGGGCTGCATCAGAAATCGTTGGCGTTTCCCCGCCGCTCTGTCTCGAGACATCGTTTTCAGATGGTACTATGTAGGTGTCATCTGTCTTGGTAGATTTGGCCTTTTCCGTCTTTGGCTGTTTCTTCTTCTTCTTCCAGACGCCATTCTCGGGGACGTGGATGGGGTACGAAACACAGTACAACGGGTCCAGTGAGAGTTGGAAGAGCGTCTTGTGGTATGACTTGGCTGGGGTCAAGACGCTGGCTAGGTCCTGCGTAGGGAAGCCAGCGACGCGCTCCCAGGGAACCAGCTGAGTGCCACTCTCGGTGAACTGGTGATCATCCCAATTCTGGTGTGAAAGATGATCCGTCTTGGAGGTGGGATCAACAGGCTCGTCCCTTGATCCGGCATTGTTCAGACGCTCGAGGAGAATGTCATCGCTATCGCGAGAGTCTGAGACCAACTCATGGTGAGGTTGATGAGTCTGGGGTGGAGCGACGTGTGGAGGATAGTGGAAGACAAAGTTGGGCCCATCGCGAGACCTCTTGATGACGAGTGCGACAGCAAGAAAGTTTGATGTGTTCGGAAGCACTGGTTGCGACATGATCGCAGCAGATGGGTCCGGTGTATGGTGTCTGGTGTCTGGCTTCTTGGTGAGCTGATGGAAGCGGCTACCGCTGGGCCATGTTTGAATGATCACTGAATGAATGAGTGCTATCGTGACGGTGGGTGGGTCACCGCATGATCGAATCGCCTAGAGAAGGATTCCGTCCGGAACGACTGCCATTGGTACTTCGGCCGTGACAGGTTCTCTGCATGGAACGAGATGATGGATGGCGAGTCGGGTCTTTCAACCTGTTGAGCTGCAGTGTTGCTCTCTCTCTATACCCATGATAGGCATGCAAGGTAGGTAGAGGTAGGTAGGTTCGCGATGGGGCATGCGATGGAACGATGGCGGTGGGATGCATTACCTAAGCGAACCCACCATGGGGGAGGTGCACGTGCCCTTCCCTTTCCATGGAGTGACGGCATGTTCTTTCAGGGGTCCGGATCCACGCTTTCTCAGGTCAAGTGGTCAGGGCATGAACGGGAGAATGGCTCCAGTAGAGAGCGTTGTGAGGCGAGGCGGGTGCTAGGGAAGGGAAGACCCCTTTGGCCCCCTCCCCCTCCACACCACCACGAATAAGTGGCTCTCAAGGTTATCACATGTTTTGATCTGTCATTTTGACTGGACAGTCCTCATCTCCCTTTGCCGTTGACAAGGTGCTTCCAAACAACGGCCAACCTAGAGCAACCACAACGTACTTTTTTGATTTTCTTATCCGGACGGACCCAAAGTAATCTATCGTCTAGAAGGGCAACAGGTCGTGTGCTCATTCAGAAAACTTCCAAGCAGATCACCACTACTCTCCCTCGTCCTACAACCCTCCTGTGGCATCCTCATTCCAACAACCCCTGAGCGGCAGACCTCAACCCCTCCTTTGCTGCAGCGCTGCTGCATTGCGACGACACCCCCACACCTCGCAACTCCTGCAGACCACTTCACTCCTACATGGCCGGCCCCTCGCCTACGAGTTCCAGACCGTAACAATAGACCCTCTCGAACACCCCAAGGCGGCATAGCCTTGCGTCGTCCACGCCGCACCGATTTCGATTTTGATTTCGATTTTGATCCTGCATTTCCGCCTCGTCTCGACATAACCTGACGGTGTGTCGACTCTCCTGCGCCTCGACCTCGCCCCTCCACCCAACCCCTCCCCCGTGCGCGTGAGAGATCGCTGGCTCCTTCCTTCGACTGTCCGCGTCCTTCTGCCGAGCCGAGCAGACTCAGTGCTGAGCATGACTTCGTCCAACACCAACGGTCTCGAGACCGACCATGCAGATGTCCGATTCATTTCCTCCTCCTACGGCGGCACCGACCCGCACCAGTCTGCCATTCAGTTGATCTTGGCTGTGCGACCTGAGTGGGCTTCGGACGATTCCAAAATCGAGTTCGCCCGCTTTACGGACGGCATCACAAATACGCTGCTGAAGGCGGTCAACAAGAAAGAAGGCTGGACAAAAGAGCAAGTCGATGCTGAGGCTATTCTGCTGCGTGCCTACGGGTCAGGCACTGCTGTCCTCATTGACCGCGAGCGCGAAGCCCAGAACCATGAACTGCTGTCGAAGCATGGTCTCGCTCCTGAGCTCCTGGCGCGCTTCAACAACGGCATGCTGTACCGCTACATCAAGGGCAGCGTCACGTCCCCTGACGATCTGCGCAAGCCTGCTATCTACTGTGCTGTAGCGGGACGACTGGCCGAGTGGCACGCCACCGTACCTTGCATCCAGCAAGCCAAGCCCGCCTCCAACGGCGCGTCCCATCAGCAAGGCAACGGCAACGGCAACGGCACCAGTAACGGTAACGGCGCAGGTCACGAGGACCGTCAAATTGTCATCGACAATGTCGCGCCTGGTAAACCTCCCCCCAATGTTTGGACTGTCATGCAGAAGTGGATCTTTGCTCTGCCCGACACGACTGCCGAGCAAAAAGCAAGACAACGCACGCTTCAGGTGGAGCTAGATAGCCTAGTTGAACAGCTTAGCCAGCGTCCCGGACTGGGCGTCAATGGGGTAAGCTCAAACTCCATGTTGATGCGTGATCGCTCTGTAACTGAACCGTGTCCGTCTAGCTCGTCTTTGCTCACTGTGACCTCCTGAGCGGCAATGTGATCATTTTGCCCGGCCAGCCTGGCGATGTCGAGGGCGCAAAGTCGGTCACGTTCATCGACTACGAATACGCAACGCCCTCCCCGGCCGCATTTGACCTTGCGAACCACTTTGCCGAGTGGGGCGGTTTCGACTGCGACTGGAGCGTCATGCCGACTCGCGCACAGCGCCAGACGTTCATCACCAAGTACATCGAGAGCTACTTCGCCTCCCAGCAGAGCGAGGTCGACCGTGAGGCCGAGGTCACCAAGCTCATGGATGAGGTCGACCTCTTCCGCGGCGTCCCCGGCTTCTACTGGGGCATCTGGGCCTTGATCCAGGCCACCATCTCCGATATTGACTTTGATTACGCCTCCTACGCCGAGACGCGCCTGTCCGAGTACTGGGCTTGGAAGGCCGAGTCTGACGGCAGCAGGGCTGCCGCAGGTGCGGACAAGCCTCTGCGCGAGAAGCGATGGGAGCAGAACGAGTAGCCAGATTGCCCTTCTCTAGCCTCCCAGGTAGAGCATACCTCATCTGGATGGTGATGAGGCGCGTTTCTGAGCCTGGCTGATTTTCGATTCGACTTGTTCACAGAGGGGAAGGCAAAGGAGTTCCGGCACGAATTTTCTGGACATACCACCTCAACTGCGTCACAGAAAGAAATGGTTGGATGGGAGCGAAGCATGATATATCCACACGGGCCGGCGTCATTCAACATGAGCTCAGTAGAAGGGGGAAAGAGCTCCGGGGCGTTGCATTTTTTTTCTCTCCCATTCGTTCAGTCAAAAAGAGCGAGTCCCTCGTACATAATAATTACACACAATGTTATCCCAAGTCACTTGCTTGGACATTTGCATCAAACGCGCACTACCTCATCGGGCTTGACGCTGGGCAGGGCGGCGGGTGACTGCCGCAAGACCATGCATACACCTGAAGGGAGTGCACCTTGAGATCGAGGGGATGCGGGATCGGCGTACGTGACCCGATCTCGGCCCAGTCCAGAACGAGAACGCACTCCTCAGCTGGAGAGCTAAAAGCAAGGTACGTGTGCCTGAAGGATATCTTGGCCACGACGAAAAGACTGCGCCTGCAGGTGGCCTGTACGCAGGATCTCAGGGGATGTGCCGAAAGTCGGTGGAGCAAGTTGCAGGTACCATCGACACCCTCTCCCCTGGCATCAAGACGCCATGTGCGCTCGGGGCATCGACCGCCGGTTCGGTGGGAGACATTGGTGAGTGGTGCTTGTTGTGCCATGTCCCCTGACTCGAGGATGATACGCTGAGGGTGCTTTCAAGGTCTGACCGATACCCTGGGTTCGATGTTTGGTCCCCCTTGCGGCGAGGGTATCTAATGAGCATCAACCTAGCGCAGCTGGTGAGGCGATACAGAGCTTGACGAGGCTACATCAAACTGGTGAATGCATCATGAGATGCTTTGTCGCACAGAAGCAGCCTAATCTAGTGACTTCGACGAGGGCCATGCCCCCATGAGAACCAATATTGATCGCAAATGGAAGCCATCAGCCATCGCCCTCCAAACTCACCGCAAGGCTTCTTCGCAGGACAGCCATCTTTCCATAGCTGAGAGAGTGTTCGAAGAGCATGTAGCGACAGGCGACGATAATCATTGCCTTCAGCGAGGTCTTCGGGCTCCACGGCCACGGCCAGAGGCAAAGGCTTTGACAATGACACGATTCTTTTACTTTATTGATGAGTCCTCCTTGCGCTCTCGAATCCGGGAACAGGCAACGGCACGCATCATGCAAAGAATGGCAGGGAATGTCCCAAGTCCGCGACTGCTCCTTGCAGAACGAAGCATCAGAAGACCGAGGCTAGGCGATTCGCGTAGAGTGCAAGCTGGCAAGATGGTGCCTTTCCCGGCCAGGCGACCCATGACATACCGTGTCTCCAAACCCGGCCGGCCGGTTCCCTCAGGTGCTTGCGAATCGTGCGCTCCGCCGTGGTGACTTGTGGGTGGTGTGTTGTTCTACGCGGCCATGTGTACCCGCCAAAGGGGGGAGGGGGGGGGGGGGGTTCACAGCCACGCCGTTGGCGCAGCGGGTGACGATCAAATTGTTTTTCGGATATCCTCTGGGCACCGCAAGGGGAACCCTGTAGTAGCCCGTGGGCTTCTCGGATCAGCCCCATCGTAAGGTAGGGGCAGTATTGAAGAGCTGGCGATCGACGCCAGGCAGACGAAACACAATGACGGAGTTCGAGGAACCAGACCCTTCTACTCTCTTTTCTCGCGTCTGGGTCGGGAAGAGGCGGGGCTTGCAAGGCGGACGCGCGAAGAAGAACAAGCCCAGAGCGATTGAAATGCCCTGGTGAACAGGTGCAGTACTAGCTGGGTAGCTGCCGGCATTGGTCCTGCGGCCGGCAACGGCTCTGTTCGGCGAAATTTAGGATCAAGTAGACGAGTGTATCCCACCACCCGAGATAAGTCGAAACCCCTGCTGCATGTGAGGCGTTCGAATTGGAGCCTAGTGACGGGGCAGCGAAAGCGAGCTGGTGACGAGTGAGGGCCTTCTTCACCTTGCTTGCCAGTGCATGCATCCAAGAAGGAGGCCGCGCAGTGCCATTTCTACCATGGCTTTCTATTGTTGTCTTCGTTCTGATCCAAGGCTAGTTCCGGCCAGAAGGTGCCCATCCCATCAGCGGAACCATTGCCGACTCGGGTCACCGTCATGGGGTCGCATCCTCGGTAGCTGTTGCTACTGGCGTGAATGCTGTGCATAGAACTCAAGCATCGCCAATAAGCCCGCAGAGTGAGTCAGTGCAAACAGTGGAAGTGGAGGTGAAGGGGTCTTTTTGGGAGGGGGTGCCAGATGTGGTGCTCGGCGCCGACACGGCCGACACTCTGAGCCGGAGCAGACCCGCTAAAGTCAGGGCAACAGCTGTACTGAGTTGTGGAGCTGGATTGGGGCTGGGCTCAGACTAGAGCTGGGAAGATGGAGCTCGAGCTGGCACTGGAGCTGGAACTGAAGCTGGAGCTAGAGCTGCTGCAAGGAGGCACCTAGGCACATGAGAGTACCTACCTGCCTGACATTGCGCAGCGACAGGAGGCCTGAACATGACCAGGCCCCCCTCCACAAGAGAAGGCCAGGAAAGGGACATTGTTGCGAACGGAGCGGCAGAGGCCAAGGCGCTAGTGCTATCGTGCTCCAACCGGAGGCCCAAAGACGTCGAATTGGCTGATGTGTCACAGGCGGCAGGCGCACCGGAGCAATGGCGACTACGAGCAGGAGCAGAGTAGAAAACGAGGAAAAGCAGGGACCAGCCCCGTGTCGGAGGTTGGATGCGCCCGCCTGGCACAAGCAATGCCCTTGTCCTTCGAGTACCTACCTACCTACCTACCTAGGTACCATGTAGAGTCAACAAGAGGACTTTTCTCTCTCTCTCTCTCTCTCTCTCTCTCTCTCTCTCTCTCCGAAAGCACGCACTGTTGGCTACAACAAGGAGCCGCAAGAGTACCAAGGGAACGGGGCGGGCCAGCGGACTTGGAGACCATCGCCCGGCTATACACTTACCCACCTTTCGAAAAGAGGCTCGACGCGCTGGGGCAACGAGTGCTGACTTATGAACAATGCTTGACCCGACGGGAATAGTCCACCGGCGCACTCGCTGCTCGAGACCATCATCCCCCCCCAAGTAGGGCTGTTCAGCCGGCCCAAGTGGGAAGGTGCTTAGAGAGCAGCAACGGTGCCCATGAATTGTTTCGTCCAGATGTTTCTCCGCCCAGTGCGGCGTTCGGGGGTCAGATTGCAATGAGTACCGAGACAACTGGGTCGTGACAGAAAACGGGCTTGGTGCCCTGGGCAGCTGATGGTCCATGCGCTCTAGGTGGCGGGTCCCCACCAGTCCCGCGCCATCCGTTAGCGCACCATTGCCCTGCCGATAACGTGCTTTTTTCCTCTGTGTGTGGTACGTGCCAGCCTGCCATGAGGTGAGTGCGTGCCAGGGGTCTGTGATAAGATGCGGAGAAGTGTTGCACTCGAAATGAGGGCTAAGGCACCCTGGGCGCTTGTTGTAGTGGGAACGTACCTGGAAAGCTGGGGAGCAAGCTCGGAAGGTATCATCAACTTGGGTATCAATGAGTGTAGAAACCAAACAGCCAGAGGGTGAGCAAGAGACAGGGAAGAGAGGGGGTGACAGTGATGGGAGGGGGGGGGGGGCAACATTACTGTGCATGGGTCCCTACCTTACCTTCAGGTACACTGCCTTACGTTTGTCCCACTTCAACCTGGCCGAGGCAAGGCGCCTGCCCGTCTTGCCCTTGTGGAAGATTGTGAGCTTTCATGGTGCCAGGTGGCTGGAAAGCAGCGTGAGGGGGAAACACAATAGAGAGTGGGCGGAGAGTCGACGGGGGGGTGCAAATAGGGCGCAAAGTAATCACAAGCTCCACCCCAATCTGCCGACTGCCCCACTTTCCCCGATGACCCCATCGTCCATTCTTCCCTCCTCATGTCAAATGTCAAGGGTCCGTTTCGTTCGACCTGGGAACCTTGGGACATCAGAAGACCTCATGCTGGTCGCCAGTCTGCGCGCTTTGCATATCTGCCCGTCCCGTCGACCAGTCAAACATGCGGCTTGTAGCCGTTGACTGGAAGTCGGAGGTACCCCATTGTACCTTACCTGAGCTGAGGTGGGCGGGCCGTACTGAGCGGGCACGGCTTGTCAATCACGGTGCTTGCTTCCTCGTTCATTCCTTCCTTTGCTTGGCCCGCCATGCGGTCCATCCCATCTTGACATTGCGCTGCCTGTCCTGTGGTAGGAAGGTACAGACGGCTGTTCTTTCCCCAGCCCAGCAACGCTGCTGCTGCTGCTGCTGCAGTACCGTACCGTGCCTTTCCCTCTCGCCACAGGTACACGCTCTCGTTGCAGTTCCCCAGTCCCTCATATCCCATCCAAGCCCAAACAGGGAGGAGGTGCTGGCGCCGAGCACTCTCGCAATATCAACCATTGCATCTCGTCCTTCGGCCTACTTGCCGCCCGCCAGTGCGACCCTGTTTGCTTGTCTCCTTTTTGCCGCTGCGCCTGTCTGCCAGCGTTCAGGACGCCATTCCCCTCGACGCGAATCCTCGCGTGGGAACCCTTGTCAGGACCACGGAGGAACCACCGAGGATACTCATGAGGTAGGTCGCCGTGATCCAAGTCATCCTCCTCAATGACCCCACGTCGCCCGACTTTGCTTCTGTTCTCATCTTCATCACCATCCTCGCCCCCGGCCTCGCTATCGCCCCCGTCCTCGACCTCGACCTCGACCTCGACCTCGACCTCGAGCTTGATCTCCCTAGGCACCTGATATGAGACACACGCACACAACCAGGAGAGAAAGAAAACCCAACGATGCCTCGGGTTACAGCTGCCTTCAGCCATTGATGACCCTACCAGCACGAACCGGCACCCGCTTCCAGGCATCTGGACAGCAGACAAATAACACAGCAGCAGTAGCAGCAACAACAGCAACGGCGGCGGCGGCGGCAGCGGCATGGCGACTGAGGGGTCTCGTCACACCGCTCAGCGCCCAGTTGCCCTCGACGATGCCGTTCAGCAGCTCCTCCATCAACAGGCCGAGATTCAAGCCAAACTCGCAGATCTCCTACCCGCCACCTACCGTCACAATGTGAAGCTTGAGCTCTCCATGCTCCGACACAAGCTGCGAGCTCTCCATGCCTATGTACATCACCACGGTAAGCACGCCAAAGACCTCGAGAAAGCCGCCTTAGCCGCATCGTCCACCTCAGTGAGCTTGACCTGACTCGCCTTTTTTTTCTCACACCAGAGCAACTACCTGTCGCCCCTGTTCTTTGCGAGGCCGAGGAAGCAAGATCACTGCAGTATCGCTGTGAGTGCATCGAGGCCGCCATTTTGGACCAAGGTACAACCCACTTGCCCTCACAAATTTCTCCGTTTGCTGCACGGTATCGGCTGTGCGACATCGGCTTTACCTACCATTCCCTCCTAACACACCCACCATCTAGGTCTGAATCTCACCAACCCCACGTTCATTGATGCCCTCAAGCGGCCTGTCGAACACCTTGCCCCAGTCGGCTATGCCGCCTGGCTCGACCAAAACCTTGCGCGGTATGACCCAGTCTTCCGCACCTGGTCCATGAGAGCCGCCGCACCAAGCCCGTCCTCCTTGAACTTCACATCGTTCAAATGTTGGGATGAGGACTGCCCTCATTACATCTACGGGTTCTCCAGGAAGGATGATCGGAATGCTCACGCCAGAGGGCATGACATGGCCAAGCACCGGGACTCGGGGCTCTCCATCGGCGGTCCGGCGTCCCTCCCCTTCTCCGGTCTCCCAGCCGCCCCTAACCCTTCGACGTATGAGCAACCGGGCAACAGGGCCCAACCCCAAACAATGCAGCAGCTCCCTAGGCCGCATCCCGCTCACACGCTACCCCCAATAGCAACTTCATTACTGCCAAGAGACCGATCCGACTCTCTCAGTACTCGACCAGGCTCTAGCGACCTTCCAGGGTCAGCAAGGCAAGCAATCTACGCCGATCTCGACTCCCACTTGCCACCTCTGGCGCGAAGTCGGGTTGGCCAACCTCGACTGCAATCTATCGGCGAACTAAAGCTGGACCCGGATGCAGGATCATGCTTACAATGCCGAATACTGCATCAGTCTGTAGGTCTCCACGGGCACTGCGTCCCCCCGTTTTCACAGGCTCACAATTCCCAGTGCGACGCCGTCGACCCTTGTTCTCATTGTGCAAAACAACTCCAACAGCCTGGCAATGATGGTCACAAGCTTTTGGGGTGCCATCGCGGCCCCCTTGAGAATGTCTCGGATCTGCTTCTTGCAGGTAAGTCCTGTTGAATACGCAGTCGCCTTCTTCTTCTTACACTTTCCAGCTCCTGCGACGCCAAGGCAGATGCAAACGCCTTTGACCTCGCCGCTCGCTCAGCGCCGAAATATCAATGACCACCTCGAAAATACGTATTCGATATCTGCTGCAACGCTTGTTGACCTCAGAGCAAATCTCGACTTCGATGATGGGTTTTGGTCAGCGGAGGAGCTGGCCAGCGTGTCGTCACACAACTCCAATCTGGCACACTACTCGAGAGAATCGACAAGCCGACCACCGCCTATTCTGGCCATACTATTTGCTAGCTGGAACACAGACAACACTGCGTACAACCTCATGCACTTCTTGAAAGCCACCGGACAACTATCTGCTAGCAGAGAGGCGGAGAAGACGGCATATCCAGCGCTTTACCGCGCGAAGCTGCTCTTGCGTGAAGCTGTGTTTTGGAATTTGCAACAGCAATCGCCATCTATACACCTGCGTGGTGGCTCCAGAATCCCGCATCAAGTCCCGGAGGACGTTGATTACGATGGCCACTATAAGCTCTTGTATGATTGCTTAACGCAGTTCTTACAGGCCTTCGAAGCCGCGGCATTACACAGACAGAGGTTTGACTTCAAAGCGTCGCTTGCCATGTTTATGTCTGTCTGCCTGTTCAGTGCCATCCGAACCATTTTTGCCGACACACTTACGACTTTACCACGACGCCATGCTTTGCCACAACAAGGGTTGAAACAGGAGGTGTCTTTCGCGGGCCTGTCTCAAATCGACAGCGTTTACAAACTCCTGATTATCAGCTGCAAGTCGATGGGTGCTACACCTTTTGATGACCCAACTATTCCAGAAATCGAATCGTGCAGCGCCGCCTTTCGGTTACTGGAAACGATCATCCAGAGACACCAGTGGGCCGCTCAAGGTGTCTGGTCTTGCTGTGACTTCCTATCCCGGCTGGGCAGTGGTGCAGTCGAAGGCAATACGACGTACGTTGGATTTCTCAAACCCACAACGTGGCCATACAGTGATCGCTTTGCTGTTCCCGCGCCGAGTGCGAGGCCCATGGATGAACCCCAGACGCCCTTGTCCAATTCTCGAAGCACGGGCGAGCCTTGGAACCCGAGCATCCAGATCTTGCCCGATCGAGACTCATTCATGCCCCAAACTAGTGTCGATCACCTGGTATCGCCCATTGGTTATGACCACACCAGCCGGAGACAGAATGCGAACAAGAGCCCCCCCTTCCAACGGCAGGGGTCTTCGCGGCCATCAGACCTGCCAACGCTGCATAGTCGGGGGAGGGTATCTTATCAACGGACACCTCTACGGAGGGTCTACTGCAGCAAATGCAACGAATATCCCGAAGGCTTTAGGGGCGAACATGAGTTGCGAAGGCACACCGATGCGAAACATGCCGCCATGGTCAAACGATGGGTCTGTGCAGAGCCTGACGGCTACACATCTCCCGTGCCGAAACCCGTTGTGCCGCTGGCGAAATGCAAGGCATGCGTTACGCAGAAGAGGTATGGCGCATACTACAACGCGGCGGCACACCTTCGTCGTGCCCACTTCAATCCTCACAGGGGCGGTAAGGCTAGCGGCGATTGGCCACCGATGACGATATTAAAAGACTGGATGAAAGAAATCCGGCAGTCAGTGGATGTACAGGAGGACCAACAAGACGACTCCAGCGGCGACGAAGGCGAGGGCGAAAGTGAGTATAAGCCGCACAATGACTACGACATTCGAAGTCGGGTTGAGTCGCCAACACTCTCTGTCCCGCCGTTGGCTCCGGCACCGGCACGGGGGCTGATGCCAGCGCCTCCATCGTCCTTGGAGGTTTTAGAGCCCATGCAGCAGGGCAACACATCCGCCCGGCCTTTTGAGAACAGGACGAGATGTCCACACCCCGACTGCGGCAAGGTATTCAAAGACTTGGCAGCACACATGCTTACACACCAAGAGGAACGACCCGAGAAGTGTCCTATCGACACGTGCGAGTATCACACAAAAGGTTTTGCGCGAAAGTACGACAAGAACCGACATGCTTTGACACACTACAAAGGAACGATGATCTGTCCATTTTGTCCCGGGATCGGTTCGGCGTTTGAAAAGGCTTTCAATCGGGCTGATGTCTTCAAAAGACACCTGACGTCTGTACACAACGTCGAGCAGACACCGCCCAACAGCCGAAAGTTTGTCGCCAGTGGTCCAGGCCCCAGCGCTACAGTCAAAGAGGGAGCCCGGTGCTCCATCTGCCATGCTGAATTTAACACGGCCCAGGATTTCTACGAGCATCTCGATGACTGTGTACTAAATGTCATCGTGCCGGCGACAACGCCGTCCATGCGCACAGGCTCATCTTTGGCTGAGAATACTGGCACTGTTTCGATGCACGAAGAAAGAGATTCGGAAATGGAGGACGAACGGAAGCCTCCCGCAACGATGTTGATACCAGAAGGTGTGAATTATGGGGGGCCGTGAATATCGTAGGCGGAGACAATGTAGTGTAGAGGCGCGAGAGTCACTGAGGGAGCAAGTGCGCAACTATGATACCACATACCAAGATGTTGTTTACGACCATTCGAGATGGACACGGCCATCCATGCTAAGTACAGGGATATTTGAAGAACTGTGACTGTGATGACTCAAACCAGAGACGCTGTGCATGTTCTCTCGATAGAGTTGTCTGCAATACTCATGAAAGGGCGTGGCGTGGGGGCCACCCCTTCTCGTCCATTATGGCATAGAGGCAACTACTACTACCTGTGTGTGATATTGTGATGGGACCAAGGAAAACTCGAGATGGAGTGATGACAATGAGATGGCCAATGGACGGAGAAATTTGATCCGCCACTGCCTCGACTTGCTTACTAGGCCTCCTCCTCGATGGCAGCCACCTCTCTACCTGACCGAATCCCAGCCTGTACGAATGCATCGCCCCCACCCCTCCTCCTTACATGGCCTACAGCTGGCCGAGCGACAAAGGGGGAAAAAAACAAGAGATCTGGGTACTTCCTACACGTCGACCTTCAGGGGGATGAAGCCCGTGCCGACCTTTGGCTTCCTCGCGTAACCGTTGAGCATCCTCCAGCCGGCGCCGCAGAGCCGTCCCTCCTCGACAATGGCCGACACGCCCTCGAGGCACTTGCCTGCCTCGGTCATGACGCTGCCGGCCGTGACCGTGTCGGCGAGGCGCAGCTCACCGGCGACCTTTTCCATCTCGCACCGCAGCAGCCAGCGCTCCCAGCTCCAGCCGCCGGCGACGCCCGTCAGGGCCGCCACGGCGTCGGTGCTGCCCGTCACCATGGCCTCCAGCGTGACCGTCTTGCCGCCCGCGGCGGCGGCGCCCGGCAGGGCCGGCAGGGGCTTGCCCGGCGGGCGGCCGCCGATGGGCAGACAGAGCCAGGCGCGGCGCGTCTCCTGGAAGCCGGCGCGCGCGAGGCGCGCGAGCCACATCCTCGTGGGCGCCGGGTCGTAGCCGAGGGTCTTGAGAGTGAAGCCGAATTCGACGCTCTTAGCGAGGCCCAGTGGGCCTGCGTTCATGAGGTCCGAGTCGAGGAGGGAGAAGTCGAGGTAGCCGCCGGGCTTGAGGACGCGCATGCACTCGCGCAGGCACCCTTCCCACTCGTCCTCGCCGTTGCCGCCGACAAACTTGAGGAGCGAGTGCAGCTCGCGCGCCGACACGAGGTCGAACTGGGCGTCTGCAAAGGGCAGACGCGTCAGGCGCTCGACGGCGACCTGGCGGTGGTTGGGTGGACCGCGAATGTTCGAGTTGGACAGCTGGCGGACGGCCTTTGTGGTGACGGTGTAGATCTTGGTGTTGGGGTACTGGAGGGCGCAGTGCCATGCCCAGTCGCACGTGGCCTGGCCGCCGAGGTCGAGGATGCGAGCTCGGTCGCGAGCGACGCCGTCGGGGCCCGGCGCCATGCGAGAGAGACGCGCGAGGCGCTTCGCGACGGGCGCGGAGATGAGGCGACCACCGTTGAGGTAGCGCGTGGCGGCCACGTGCCAGTTGGACATGGACGTCTGGCTCATGGCCTCCTGCTCCTTCTCACGCTTGAGCTTCTCAGGGTCGTCGATGAGAACATCATCGCCGCGGGCGACGTTGGCGCTCAGTCGCTTCTTGGCCGACTGCGGCATGACGCTCAGTTGATACTTGCCGAGGAGCTGGTTGCGGTGGTACTCGCGGCGGCACACGCGCTGGGCCTGGAGGACCTCGAAGCGCGGCAGCTGGTGGACAAAGGCATCGAGGTGGCCTCTCTGGATGATGTAGTCCTGGAAGGCGCGGTAGTAGGCCGATTCCTGTCGCAAGAGCTTGGAGGGAAGCGAGCGCGGCACGTTGGTCAGCGAGACGAGGGTGGAGAACCGGACCGTCTTCTTCTTGGGAAGCTCGGCGGATGCGGGCTCAGAAGCCTTGACCACCAAGTCGCCAGACTCCTCTGCAGCCTCGGGGATAGTCTCAAGGCCTTGGTCTTGCTGTTCGCTGTCCTCTGTGTCCACGTCTACGGCTTTGAGATAGGCTCGTTGTGCCATGAGCCAGATGCCAGTGCGGTCAAGGTTCGACAGAGCTACCTCTTCCTGCTTGCGAGCGTACTCCGGGTCGTACGTGGTGACAATCTCGGTCGCGGCTTCGTCGACTCCAGGAGAGACGGGATCCGCAGGCGTAGATGAGCCGGATGCAATGGTGGGAACGACGGGCCTGGCGGTGGGCATGTCGTCCTCCATGTCATCTTCCGCCACCTCAATGATGCGCTCGACAGGAGAGGATGGAATGGCGATGCTGCGGTAAAACTGCTCTGCCATGCTGCTGGCCGCCGCCGCCGCCGCCGGCTGGCGGACCGGCAGGCTGGGAAGGGCGGGAACGGGGGGCACCGAGGCGTCCACGTTCCAGGGGCAGCGGTAGAACTGCTCTGCGGTGGTGGAGGTGGGCGGGACCATGTCCTCGGGGGTTCGGCTGGGCATGTGCCAGGTGGTCCTCGTGCGCGGGGAGAGACCAGAGAAGAACCCGCCGGGTGAGGGGATCTCGAGCTTGGAAAGATCAGCCAGAGACCGCCGTTGGGAGCCGGGCGTCATCTCGCCTGAGCGGGGGGCGGACGCTCGGATGTTGGTGAAGATGCGGAGGTTCTGCTGGCGCATCTCGCGAACAGGCTCCTGGGGGATCTCGAGGACCTGTTCCTGGTGCTCGTGGTGCCCGTCGACGCTGTCGTTATCCCCCGACAGCGCCTGCAGGGTTGCCAAAGCGCCTGGCTGGAGCTGCACTCCAGACCAGTCTTCGGCCTTGTCGCCGTCGTCGTTGCCGATGACGGGGGTGGGGGGCGCCGACATCTGGGCCAGCTGCTCCGAAGTCAGGCTGCCGTCTAAGCTGCCGTCGAGGGAGGGAGGGGCGGAGATGGTGGGGATCTCCTGGACCTGGCGGGCTTGCATGAAGGAGAAGACCTCGGGCGACATCTCGACGCGCGTCGGGGGTGTCGGCGGCACGGGGGAGATGAGCTTGTTCTTGAGCGAGCGCGCGGACCTGTCGTCGGTTGTGTTGATGCGCGCCGCGGGGATGACCAAGGGGGGCAACGCCTTGCGGGCGGTCATGGCCGTCTGGACTTGGTTGGCGGCGTCGGCGGCGGTGTTCCTTCGGCGGACAGACGACTTCCTCGAGGGCATGCGGCGCAGGCGCTGCTCCTCGTCGTCGCTGATGCCGTAGAGATCGTCAAACTCGGTGATGTCTGTCATGACGCTGGCTCGGTGGTTCCACGGGTTCGAGGTGGTCGTCGGGGACAGAGGCTCCTCGACCGAGTCGTTGGAGGGAGATGATGGGAGGATGGGGGCCGACATGAAGTGGAAGCCCCTAGGCGTGGGAAAGTGGTCGCTCATGGGGGAGAGCCAGGCCTCGATCTGGACGTTGGCGGGGGGTTGAAGCTTGCGGCCGTCGCGTTGTCGTTGGTTCTGGCGCCGCTGGAGCTGGTGCCATTGCTGACCGTCCTCGTTCTCCTCCTCGATTATAGTATTAAGCAACCTCCCTGGCCTTCGACCCTGCGAGGGCGAAGGAGGCTGATATGTGGATGTGGGCAGGAGTACCAGCTCTGCCATGGTTGCGTCGGGCTGTGTGTTGGTGGATGCGGTCTGGGACGCTGATGGTCCGGGAAGCTGATGCTCCGAGAAGCTGGTGCTCCGGGAAGCTGGTGCTCTGGGAAGCTGGTGCAAAACAAGACGACGATGCCTACCCGAGTGTCGATTGGCTGGAAGTGATCGTGTAAATATAGGTGTAGGATGAAGAAGAAGGCGCAGCAGCAAGAGACGCGCAGCGTCAGCCGGCTGCTCGGATGAAGAAGGAGGAAGCGCGGTATCGAATGGGAAACAACAGGGCCTTTGATGAACGACAGGCTGCCTCGGTCAACGAAGCTTTCTATGAAGTTGATTTTTGGCACGAAGAGAAGCTCAACTCGGAGAGTATGGCTGAAAGAAAAACAAAAGCACAGAGTGAACGAGAAGGAAGGTCAGGTCGATCATCGGGTCCTCCAGGGAAAGGCTGAAGGGGGGCGGGGACGACGGAGCGTCTTATTGAAGCAGAGGTTCGCTCTCGAGCGAGCATGGTGAGCGGCTAGATGGACAGCAAGCGGCTGCATGATGGCGGCTGCATGATGCAGCGCGAGCGGGAAAGGCCTGGCAGCTGGTGGTGCCTTGGTGTGTTCCTTGCGTGTGACAAGCCAAGCGGCGGGTGGGCGCGGGCACACGATGGGCCTTCTTTCCTGGCCCTCTTCGAGACATCCACGTCGGCGTCACAGAGCCCATTCTCAGCGCGTCAAACCAATGAGGACGGCAAACGGCTGCATGTCATCTGCTGGGACGACGAGCATCGGGCCAGTCAAGGTCGTGAGATGGCCTGGATGGCGCGCGCATAACGACATGGAGGTGTGGTGGAGGGTCAGGAAAGCAGGAAAGGGCAGAAGAGTCCGGATCGGGCAATGAGGAGGGGTCGACTCGTGTGGCTCACCGGCCAATGAGGGCGACGCGTCCCTCGTCCGGCGCTTAACTCGATCCAGCCCGTGCCATTGGTGCGCTCTGCCTCTTTCTGCCCCGCTCTGCCTCTTTCTGCCCCGCTCTGCATCGCTCATCGCTCTGCATCGCTCTGCATCGCTCGCCATGCGCGCTGCTCCACCGTGTCTGGGGGCTGGGTCTTCGGCGGGAGTTCAGCCCCCAACTGTGGCTGACTGTGGGACACGGAGGGAGAAGGCATCGTCTCCATTGAGGCTTATAACCATTGGTTATACATATATACGCACACCCGACATGTTCCACTTGATACATCGTGTATGAAATAGGCGGTATGCATCTGCAAAGACTGCTTGATGGAGCCGAAGGCCACGTTGCAATAAATACTTTTTTCTCCAACCTCGTCCTTCATAGGACCGGTAGCTCAGGGGTAGAGCGTGCGATTGCAGTATTGCAACATTATCGCAATGTCAGTGGTTCAAATCCGCTTCGGTCCTATCTCTTTTGGCCTTCTTGTTCCCTCTTTTTCTTTTTTTTTTCTTTCCTTGTTCAGGCAGATAGATACTTGTTCGACTAAATGATAAAATCCGCGGGACGGCCGAGGCATGAGGAGACGAATTCATAGGTGTCACCCGTTCGGAGGCGTGCCTATTCTCTCTCTCTCTCTCTCTCTCTCTCCTAACCCATCTCCGATGAATGAGAATTGCTCTCACAAAGATGGGAGTTCAACGACTCGTCCGCATTGCCCTACATGAAGTAAGTGCCGCCTTTTGCTTATTCATCAACTAGGACTGGTAGCTCAGGGGTAGAGCGTGCGATTGCAGATCGCAATGTCAGTGGTTCGAATCCGCTTCAGTCCTCTCTTTTTTGTTTCGTCGTCGGACACTCCACACCATACGATGGATGGATGCATCGTCGATTGGAGCTTTTGCGGCCATCAGCCCGTTGGTTGCGACTCGCACACGAGCGCCGGTCAACCCACTGAGGCTCAATGACAGTACAGAGGCAGACACGATCCGCCGTTATATCGGTTGTGTGTGCTGTTCTCTTTTGACGCTCGACACCACCGTGACAACAAGCTGAGTCTGCAACTCGTCACCACACGTCCTCTCATTCTGCCCTACGCAGACAGCCACACACACATCTTGTCAACGCGACTCTCCTCCACCCATTCGGAAGGGCCTCGCCGGAGTGCTGCATGAACACAACAACCAGCAACCCCGGTCGCGCTACATCTCGGATGGGTTGGAACAGATGGGGGGCAGTGTGACATTGATTTCCAGGGCGCCTAATGATGAATATGTAGACACCCGCCGACGGGCGGCTACTGAACTCTTCCGGGGCGCCCTCGGTGCCGCCCACGCCTCAGCGAGCCGTCCCGTTAGCTAAGCAGACGAGGCGGTGCAAGCCCAAACGCCTCAGGAACCCCGCCATCCTGTTGTTCCTACGGTACCAAGCAAAACCACCCCGCAGTCGCTCCGCGAGAGGCCTGCTGCGTCTGTTGTCGGAAACGAAGCTGCGAACCACGCGTTCGTTCTGCACAACCTCACCAACACCAACACCAACACTTCATTCTTCAGTCCTACCAGAGTCCCCCCTACACCCGCTCTTATGGCCGATACGGAGCAAGCCGATTTTGAGCCCCAGAGCCGTCACGTCACATATTGTGGTGGTGAGAATTGAACCCCCTCCCTCCCATTTACCCCTCCAAAACCGACGTCACAAGCTCTGCGTGAAAACTAACCACACCTCTGTCCTTCCGCAGTCTGCACTCTCCCCCCCGAGGTACGATCCCAACAGCTCTCTCCCTCTCTCCCCCACATAGACCCCATGGCACGCACGCACACACACGCAAGTCCCCGTGTGCATGGGGGTGAAACCAAAAACCCAAAAAGCAAGCTCATTGAACCCTGACCCGTACGACGCCGACACGCGTAGTTTTGCGAATATGGCGGCACGGTGAAGAAGTGCCAGGAGTGGCTCGAGAAGAACGAGCGCCCGCTCTACGACAAGATCTGGTCGCCCGAGGCCCTCGAGGCGGCGACGGCGTCCCTGTCCGTCGAGGCGCAGAAGCGCGCCGCCAAAGACGCCCAGAAGAAGGCCGCCAAGGCCGAGGCCGCCGAGGCCAAGCAGGCCGACCGCCTCGCCAACAGCACCATCACCATCAAGCGCATCGAGCGCAACAAGAAGAAGTTTGTCACGGCCGTCATCGGCCTCGAGGCCTTTGGCCTCGACCTCAAAAAGGTCGCCAAGGACCTCGGCAAGAAGTTCGCCACCGGCTCCTCCGTCAGCAAGCTGCCCAGCGGCGGCTCCGAGATTGTCGTCCAGGGCGACGTCAGCGACGAGATTGAGGAGTTCCTGCTCGAGAAGTACAAGGAGATACCCGAGGACAACATTGAACTGGTCGACGACAAGAAGCTGAAGAAGAAGGCCGCCCAGGCCGCCGCCGCCGCTGCGGGGGCCGCCGGCAGCAGTTAGCCTAGACGGGAGGGGGGACTGTATGTGCTCATGAGAAAACAAGAAACGCCTTTGCATTTGGGAAGCCGCTGATGAGCGGGTGTGCGAGCGACTGCCAAATAAACTGCATAGCCTCCACGCCAATCCCTTGTGCGTTGCCCCGCATTGTCATTCGTGAAACCCAAAAGAACGCCCCAACCGTCAGTGCCGTATTGCACGCCAAGAAAATTTCGAGTGAGCTCTTTGGACCAGGCAAAACCAAAACCATCCGTACCTCATGTTCATGGTACATTACGTGCTTCAAGTCGGATCGGCTAGCTAGCCTCGCTTCCGGAGCACTCTTGTAGACCCTGCCGTGGATGCCGCCGTCGCTTTGGACGCCGCAGCCGCAGCCGTAGCAGTAGCGGCGGCCTTCTTCGCGGTGCTGGCGGCGACACCCTTCCTGATGGTCCCCATGACCGTTCGCTTCGCCCCTGTGGCCGCCGTGGCTTTGGCGGCGGCAGGCTTCTTGACAACCGTCGCCGTGCTCCCGTCGCTCGACTCGCTGACCCGCCGACCGGTGCGGGTAGCTGGCCGTACCTGGGGGGGTTTGCTGGCCGCAGGAGCGGCTCGTCTTGTCCGGGACGCGGCTGGGGCTGGGGCTGCAGAAGGGGCTGCTGAGGCGGAGCTCGTCGTGGAGGAGGTTGTCGTCTTGCGGGTAGGGGCTGGGCGAGCGGCTTTCGCCCTCTCAACCATGTTCGAGAGAGCAGACCGTGCCGTCGTGGGCGCTTTGGTGGGCGAGGCGGGCCTCGAGAAGGCGGGCTTTGCCGGCGAGGCCATAGTGCGCTCACGCGGGAGGTAGCGAGCATTGGTCGACGTGGGTGAGAGTATCTGGGCCGCCTCGGGGATGGTCGAAATGTGAGCGGGGCCACCGCGGTGCTTCTTCTTGGGGTTGTCGATTCCTTGGTTCTCCTTGTCACCTGCCATGTCCTCACTGGCCGGGGTCAGCGATGATGATGATGAGCGACGCACCAGATGTGAACTAACCTCAGCCGTTTCCTGGGGCGCGATGCGGGTTGTGACGCGTTGACTGTCTTGATCGGACTGGCCCTGGGAGCAAAGTCCTTCTCCGGTACGGGCGGCGGACGCGCAGCCGCGGCAAGCTTCTTCTGCTGCTCGGCGCACTTGGCGACCAGGTCCTGCATGGTGGACTTGAGAAGCGATCTGGGGATTCTGTTGACGCGCATTTCGACTCGCGATCGCAGGCTCTGTGCCTGGGCATGATACTGGGCGCGCAGCCGTCTCGCGCGGTCTGTGACTGGTAGGCGTGTCAGTGTCTACGCGTCTCGATCCTTGCCACCCACAGTCTGGACATGACATACTCTCAAGCTGCAGGTTTTCGACCAAGGCCTGCTTTTGTTCGAGTGTGATGCCCTTCCTCTTCTTGATCGGGCTCTTGCGTATCGGCGTTGCTGCCGTCTTTGTAGGGATCATGTGTCTGTCGGGGGAGGTGGCATGCTGCGCTGGGGAGTCGCCTGACACGCGTCTGTTCGCTCGAACTGGTGCCATGCTGCTTGATCTGGATGGTGTGTCGGGCTCGATAGTACAGAGGTCGTGCGTTCGGAGGATGAAATGTTGAGAGGTCGTATTGATATGTGGAAGCGCCGATGATGGAGGATCGGCTCGTGAGTGGACGGAGCTGGTGTATGGGTGTAAACAAACCTGGGAGACGGGACCTCGAGGCCGCCTTACGTAAGGAAGGCCGGTCTCCCCCAAAAAGAACATGGCCCTTGCGTACCAAGGTATCTAGGTACTTGTGCATGTAGATGGAGCAGGTGGGGCTTCCCTCGACCAACCAATGGATGACCGCTAGGCTGAACTGCCTTACGACAGACGGGACAGGAGCTCTCGTCGTGAAGCTGGCTGTACATCATCCACGCCTCTGCAGCTTTCTAGACCAGCCCTGGCCATCGCAACCTGCGCAACGTCATCCCAACTGTCGACAACACACAGAATCGCGCACTATTGCAAGTCACAGTCTCCGACCAGCACACATCCCTTCTGTCGACACGCTCGCCCTCCCTTTCCTACGACTCAGCCCGGAGCACCGCCGCCCAAGATGGTTCTCGAAGCGGTCATGGTTGTCGTCGACAACAGCGAGAGCAGCCGCAACGGTGACTACCAACCCACACGGTTCGACTCGCAGGCCGATGCCGCCAACGTGATCTTCCAGACCATCACGAACAGCAACCCCGAGTCGTCTGTGGGATTGATGAGCATGGGCGGCAAGGGCCCCGAGGTCCTCGTCACGCTCACCACGGAACAGGGCAAGATTCTCGAGGGCCTCCATCGCACGAAGAACAAGATCAAGGGGTCCTCGCACCTTGCTACAGGAATCCAGGTCGCCGGTGTACGTTCAAAGCTCTCACCCACTTTCCGCGGGATACACCCAACCCTCTGCACCAGTCCATGGTTGACTAATCATTCCCCCCCCTCCGCGCGCAGCTGGCTCTCAAGCACCGTCAAAACAAGTCGCAACGTCAACGGATAATCGTCTTTGTCTGCTCGCCGATCGAGGAGGAGGAGAAGAAGCTGGTGCAGCTCGCCAAGAAGATGAAGAAGGGCAACGTCTCGGTCGACTTTGTGCTCTTTGGCGCCCACAACGACGACGAGACCCAGCAGAAGCTGCAGGCCTTCAACGAGAACGTCAAGGGAGGCGAGGGCTCACATCTGGTCGTCATCCCCCCGAGCGCCAAGCTGCTCAGCGACCAGCTCATCTCCTCCCCGATATTGCTCGGCGAGGGCGCCGGTAACGGTGGCGGCAGCGGCGGAGGCGGCGCGGGTGGCGGCGGCGAGGGCGGCGGCGACTTTGACGGGCTCGACTTTGACCCGTCCATGGACCCGGAGCTCGCGCTGGCGCTGCGCATGAGCATGGAGGAGGAGAAGGCGCGGCAGGAGAAGAAGGCACGCGAGGATGCCGAGGCTGCCCAGAAGGCTTCGCTGGACGACATCAAGGAGGATGGCGAGTCGGCCCCGCTGCTGGGCGAGGCGAGCGGTAGCAGCGACAAGAAGGACAAGAAGGACGACGATAAGATGGACACGTCATAGATCCCCAAGGCCGCGAGCGTGTTCATCCTTGGAGCCTTAGATCCGAGTGTGTAGTAACAAGAACAGACAATACCAAGGTTTAGACGGCCTGCCGACATTTGCTCTCCGAGGCATGCAGAGAAGGCTGCCGCCAAATGTGTTGCATCACGCTCTCATTCGTGTGGTTTCAAAGCTGATTCTGTCATTACGCTATCACCTATTGTTGATTTCTCTCATGTACGACAGCAGCTTCCTGTCGAAAATCTCGCAACGGACGGGCATCTCCAGCTGGTAAAAGGGGTTCTTCATGACATAATCACTGTACAGGTCGTAGATCTTGCGCATCGTCACGTCGACGTTGACCTGTGTCGTGTCGGTGAAGAGCAGGAACTTGGTCCCTGTCAGCGTGTTGAAGCACTGGAGCCGGAAGTTCTCCGTCTCCATGACCTCGAGGCCCGACGGCGGCTCAGGCCGGCTCGGTATGCTTCCGGGGACGTTGGATGTGCGGTTGGGTTGGGTCTTGATGGGATCCAGGCGGGCTGTGATGGCGTGGACGCTGGAAAGGGGGTGGCAAGGTCAGCACGGCGTGGCCCCGGACTGAAAGGGGGGAAGATGCGCAGCTCTCACCCATGGAATGTGCCCGCTAGAACGAGGTAGTCATTCGTGCTGAGTTGGTTGAGCCCACCCTCGTGAAAGGTCCGGTGAAAGATGAGACCGCCGGCCTTGTTGATGATGATGACAGCGAAGACAGTCCTGTGAGCCGATGAGCATGTGGGCAATGGAGGCGGAGAGATGGCATACGTACATGGTTCGTCTTCGGCTGCTGCGGTGTTATGAAATGGTTGAGTTTGATCGTCATTTGTCTGCTCAAACGTCCAATCTCACGGTGTTATCACACGTGGCCGGCACAATACCGTTATGTCGGATTTCGAGACGAGATGAGGCCGAGTACAGGCAGGCTGGTGAGCACGGGTGAAGCGCCAGCGAATGGCCCACTGTCTAGACGCGCCTCAGAGCGAACCCCCCCCCCCCCCGATACCAGCTTTGGCTCCCCCCCCGGCACCAGGTACCTTCTAGCGTGCTGGGTCCAAGGACATTCAGGTCCGTGCATGATGGTGGGAATCGACATTCGGTCTTCCTTCAATCTTTCAGCCTCATTCACGACGGGGCACGACACGCCATCTTCCACCTACGCATCCACGCCATCAGCAATTGCGGCAATCATTTCTCGACCACCAACGCAATCGAACGCGAGCCATAAGATACGACTTAAATTGGCCCCTGTCAGCACGACCCTCCACCAACTCGCGACGGCGCGACAAGGCTACCTACCTCATCGCAGCACCGCCCCTCCAACATGGCCGACCAGGGCGACTCGACACTGATCCCGCCCCGGAAGCAGGAGCGCAAGCACTTCAAGCCCACCTCGCGCCCCCGCCCCCCGGTCCCCGGCCAGGAGAAGGCCGAGGCCGTGCTCGAGCTGGGCGAGTTCCAGGAGGTCGACACGCTGACCCTCTCCGAGGCCTCGCTCGTCATCAACGCCCTCGTCACCAAGCGCCGGATGGATCGCAAGAACGTCAACGAAACCGAGTACGCCATGTGTTCCCTTCTCCCTCTCCCCTTCGCTGCCGCACCCACGACGGCGCGTGCACTCTCCTGCCGTCCCAGCAGAAAGCCATGAATGACTCAAAAAAAAAAAAAAACTGACACGCCGCCTCGCTGCAGGATGCTCACGCAAACCCTCAACTACCTAGATGCCTTCTCGCGCTTCCGCCAGAAAGAGAACGTCGAGGCCGTCGAGCGACTGCTCAGCGCCCACAAGCAGCTCGCCAAGTTTGAGCGCGCGCAAATAGGTTGGTCCCTTGCCTCCACGCGAACTCCCTTGCCTGCCCTCGCAGGAAAGCGGTAGTCTGTACCCGTTGCTCCAGACTGCTGACCATTGCATATCTACGTAGGCTCTCTCTGCTGCGAGACGGCCGAAGAGGCCAAGACGCTCATCCCGTCCCTCCAAGACAAGATCACCGACGAAGACCTCCAGGAGCTCCTCGACGAGATCAGCAAGCTGCAGAGCAGGTGACGTGCCGGACACATGGGCGAGAGTGGGCAACGGGGCACCTTCCCGTCGCACTCTCTTGTAGAAAAGGACAGGCCGCTCCCGTGGATGGTGGTCCAACGTCACGGTGGTGCAGGGCTTTTTCATAGACGGCGACGCTCGGGACAGGCACAGGGATAAAAGGGACGAGTGCAAAGGTAGGCAGCAGTCATCAGGCTGCGCATCGATTCGAGACATGACTGCATGTTGTTAGGCGTATTACCGGCTCTTTCACCGGACGGGACGGGAGGGATGGAACGGACAGATTGCTTTGTATGTGTTGAATACCCATCCAATTTCTCTTGCCCTTGTGAACAGCTCGCTCGAATGTCTCGGTCTTGGATCCTCACCATGATCTCGTCAAGGCGGTGCCCTGACATTTCGATTCTCTTGGAGGACGAAAGGCGATAACCATGCACTGCACACTGGCTGTAGTTTGCAACGTGGCGAATGTCAGCAGATGACTAGTATTGAACTGCGACAAAATGTACACGAAGCCAAAGGCGGTATGAATCGTGGAAAGCAGCCGCGGGTATACCCAACGCCAGAAACAGAACCAAAACAAAGACACTTGTTCCTCGGACCCTCAACCCCTTCGAACACCCCCACCAAGACTTGTTGCGACCTCTTCAGATGGCATCCAACCCATTAGTGACCAGCAGCCGCATCCCACCGAGACCAACTGTTGACATATCTGTTCTGGTGCCGTTCATCAGGAGTGGCGGAAAGGTCTCCTCGCAGACTGGCAGAGCTGCCCTCACAGAGAGGGTGCATCTGCTCACTCGGGCGGTAGGCCTTGTAGCGCTGCATGCTTTGACGGTTCATTGGGATCTGAACGAGCTTGGGGGGACCGGGCGACACAAGCTCGGCAAGTGCGGCTCGCTTGGGTGATCCTTGAAGCTCGGGAGTTGATGCGTCCGTACGAGAGAACTCGGGGGTCGCGGATCTCGGACGCGAAGGTTCCACGAAGGAGGTTTGGGGCTCAAGATCTATGGTGGCGGGAGAGGCAAGAGACACAGGGCTGAGAGGGTCGTTCTTCATACGATGGGATCTGTTGTAAGCGCAGGCGCGGGTGAATCGAGAGTGAGGCTCCTCGTAGTGATCTGAAAATGTGGTCAGCCAACAATTTTGATTTTGGAAGCTGATGAAATGACGACAGACCTCCAAAGGGGGCAAGAATGCCATTATTCTTAAGTTCCTGGATCATGCCAGGTGGGGGTGTGCCAAAGGGCTGGAGTCCGCCCTTGCCATCGAGGGGGTCGTCGTCAGAAATGGTGCCTCCAGCAGTGAGTGACTTTCTGAGCTTCCTGCCTCTCTTGCCGCAAAGGAAGAAGGCGACGATGACGATGAGCATAACAGCGCCCATAGCGCCGAAGATACCGCCCTTGGC